AAGACTTGCTGCCATTGCAAAATTCTGCACAACTTGATATTTGGGAAGATGAAGATGGCTTTAACTTCAAATTCGTTAGCGATTTTCTCCAGCCTTGAAGAGTGAGAAAGGACGGGTTATATTGAACCATGGAAAACTATTTATGTTGGTTAACTTTCACAAATGTACAACACTGCCATAACTCAATAAAAAAAAGAGAAAGAATAAAATTACAAATATCACCGGTCAAATCTAAAATTGAAGGAAAAATAAATAAAAAAGATATTGGGTCTGCGGTAAAGCCCGGTAGTTTGGAGGTTCTAATGGTAAATCCAGTATTGGACCTCCCTTACCAATACCTAACCATTAGACCATGTGGTAAAACCATATTGCCATTTGTGTCTTCCATTTGGTAAAATTACCAACTGTTGCCGTTGAAAGTTGATGTGATACCCCGATAACAAAGGTGCTATCGGTAGGTCCCCAGCACTGAATGTACTCGTGCAATCATGTATTTAGAGATACTTCAACCATGGCAGCATAATTTCATAAGGAAAATGATTTTGGAACAATCTTTTTATATCATATTTTTATATAATTTGACATATTATTTAAATGATTAGTTCTTTTTATTCATATAAAACTTGTGATATTGAATGCATATACTCATTTAATAACATATGAAAGTTATATCAAAAGTTGATATAAAAAAGTTGCCTCTATAGCACCGCCCATCCAGCAATCTTCTCTAAGCATTAATCAAAGTGTAATGTTTGTTTGTTTTTCCCCTTTTTTTTTTTTTTAAACATTGTCCAACTTTTCAATTATTGAATCCTCAAATCATAAATTCTAAATAAAGCACGGATTTGAGAAAATTTCTAAAAGAGCTTTTTCAAGGTAAAGCCATACAATTTTTAACTAAAGATTTAGACAAAAATAATGGACTTTATATATATATACACTAATCTCCCGATATCTCAAGGTTATACTAAATCTCAATTAATTTAGAGTTGAACTACATTGGATCTTATAAGAAAGGAAACTCTTTTTGTGTTTTTTTTTTTCCATTTATACAAGATTTGAACTCGAGATCTTACTTAATAAGAATCGACCTCCTTTCACTCAAAAAATAATGGACTCGTAATGCTACAATTAATACACTTTGAGAAAGGTCATTGTGCTTTAAAATGGATTGTCCATGCTAGCCTTAATGCAATCCCACATCAGCTGCATAGAAGAAGGATGGAACTTAGACACACTACAAAAGTAAACTTAAAAGCTATTATATTTATACCTTTCTCGGCCTTTTGGCTAAGATCAAGTGTAGTATCTGTTCTTATCAGTTTAATATCTGATACGTGAGTCATTGACTCACATGATATTAAATTAATTTTTTAGGGGGAAGACACACTACAGTAGCTTGCTACTGGGGTCCTCAAGAGTTGCCCATGCTTTGCACTATAGCAAGGGCTTGGCTCACCCCACCAATTCTTAGTTGAAAGAATAGCATAAACAAGAATGGGGTCCTCAATAGTCACCCATGCTTTGCATTATAACAAAAGCAAGAAATTTTTGGTAGGTATTTAGAACGAAGAATGATGCCCTAGGTATTGATTAGAAATATGTAGAACTTGTGGATGCATACTATAGAAAGCCAAATAAAATTAATATAATTATTCATAATTTCAAATCTTAAAAATATTAACTTTAATGTTAATAACTAATTACCAATCAAATTAAATTTAAATTCCATGTGATCCTATCACATAATCTTCAAAAGAGTGCTAGAGAGAGTGTTCGTAGCACTCCTCTTGATACATATTCTTTGGACTTGTCAATATCATCATGCAATCACATGTTTATAGATAATTTAACTAGACATGGCCATGTAATCCAGCATGTTCTCAAACATTAATTGAAAGGCAATGTTTTTTGTAACATTGTCTAGCTTTTTAATCATTGGATCCTCAAATCATAAATTCTAAATGTAAAACATCTTTGAGAGAATTTCTAGAAGGGCTCCCTAAAAGCCATACAATTCTTAGCTGAAGATTTAGACAAAAATAATGGACTTGTAATGTTGTAATTAGTCCACTTTGAGAAAGGTCCTTGTGCTTTAAAAGGGGTTGTACATGCTAGCCTTAATGCAATCCCACATCGACTATGCAGAATAAGGATGGAACTTAAACACAATACAAAAGTAAACTTGCAAAACTATTATCCTCATACCTTTCTCGGCCTTTTGGCTAAGATCAAGTGTAGTATCTGTTCTTATCAGTTTAATATCTGATACATGGGTCATTGACTCACATGATATTAAATTAATTTTTTTAGGGGAGGACCCACTACAGTAGCTTGCTACTGGGGTCCTAAAAAGTCGCCCATGCTTTGCACTATAGCAAGGGCTTGGCTCCCCCCACCAATTCTTAGTTGAAAGACTAACATAAGTAAATTCATTCTAAAAAGAAAATGATGATACAAAGCCTAGTAAATTTACTATGATTGGTCGTAATTTCAAATTTTAAAAATGTTAACTCTATTACTGTTAATAACTAATTGTTAATCACATTAAATTTAAATTCCACATGACCCATAGAGAGTCTTCAAAAGCAAGCATTAGAGAGTAGAGAGTGTTCCTAGCACTCCTTTTACTACATATTCTTTGGACTTGTCAAATATCATCATGCAATCATATGTTTATAGATAATTTAACCAAACATGGCTACATAAGCTAATGTGCTCTCAAACATTAATTGAAAGGCAGTGTTTTTTGTAGCATTGTGCAACTTTATAATCACTGAATCCTCAAATTGTAAATTCTAAATTCAACGCACCTTTGAGAGAATTTCTAGAAGGGCTCCCTTTAAGGTAAAGCTATACAATTTTTAGCTAAAGATTTAGATAAAAATAATGGACTTGTAAATTAGTACACTTTGACAAAGGTCCTTGTACATTAGAATGGGTTGTAGATGCAATGCAATCCCACATTGGCCATGTAGAAGAACGATGAAACTTAGGCACACTATAAAAGTAAACTTGAAAAGTAGTCATACTCAATCCTTTTTCAACCTTTTGGCTAAGATCAAGTGTAGTATCTATTCTTATCAATTTAATCCTTCATATGTTGATCATTGACTCACATGATATAATGTTTTTTAGGGGAAGACCCATTGAAGTAGCTTGCTATTGGGGTCCTTGAGAGATGCCCATGCAACTTGTAGTAATTAATCATGGACGCATATGCAAGTTGTCTAGTTTTGTTTAGAAATATATAGTAATTAATCATGGATGCATATCGAACAATAATGATGCAACTAATGAGGTTTTAACTTAGGTGCATCTATTGTTAGTTGAAAACTATTTCCAAACCCCCTCTTAGAGTTGGGCTTAGGTTTGGGCTTATAGGATAATAATTACAATAAGCAGTATACACCAAAAATAGTTATACAAGCAAACCCATCAAATTTGTTATCCCTATTAAGCACCATATTCTTTCCACTTGACCATTGTTTTTTAAACTAATTTCAATCTTCAAGAAAAGGGAAATGATGTGTGCACCCTCTAAATCGGCACACCCCACCACAGACTCTTGCTTCATTGAATAAAATACAGTGGGGTGTTAAGATACTCTTATCCCTGACTTTTTTGCCTTAAACCTACTTATAGCGATGTAATCCTTTTGGCTTCTTGCCTTTGTAGTTTAGGTCAAATCTTAGAATTAATTTGAAATCCCATCTACATTTTCTAGAACTGATGCTTCCCTAATTGGAAAACTATTAGATCTTCCATTTGAAAGAAGGAATGTCACAAAAATCTAACATTAATTGAAAGAAGGTTTCCTATGAGAACTAAGTTGTAGATTTTAAT